CAATCTGACTGGATGGTCTGGTGAACTGGAAAGTGCCTTGAGATGACACGTGTTGTGAATTGGAGCTATAGAAATAAACTGAAGTGGGACTGATTAGATCTCCTGAGGGTTTGCTATGCAGCTAGCATCACATATTTTAGCTCAACTTTGACCTTAAACCATCTTCTGTTTCCCTACAACCAGCTGTGAAGGCTGGGGGTAGGGGAGGGGGGACAGCTCCAACTCCATACAGCACCCACCCTTTTCAGCTGTTCCTGCAACTGTTCCCTCAGCGACTCGGGGCAGTTATGAAGCTGGCTCTTCAGCTCCGCATAGCCTTCCTGGAGCCTCTGCAGGGCCTGGCGCTCGGCCTCAACATTAGCCCTCTCCTAGAAAGACACGACACACCCACACAGGATGGATGGACGATTGGAGGAGAGAGAGAAACACACAGATCAAAATCCACACCATGCAAATACCACGCAGTTAGCTGTTAGCATCCCACATTCGTCAAACAGCCTCCTCGACCTGTGCAGCTAATTAAGGCTCACGCTAAACACGCTGCTGGGATCCTAAACCATCCAATCAGTTGTTAGTTAGCTCTGCCTAAAGCGTTAGCTGCACATAGCAGGAGCGTCACGGTAACGGAGTAAGAAGTTAAGCAGAAAAGAAAAAAACCTTCTCAATGTTTAGATTAAAGGCTTTCACAAACTTTCTATAACAAAAACCTCTAATATTTAATTATTTTACTGTGGATCGAAATCCACAGTAAACCACGATTACCGTAAATCCTCTAATATTGGCCTGTATTCTATTAGCGGCCAGGTCTCTAATAATGGCCGGACTCGTATATACAGGCCGGGGCTATAATTAGAACCAACGATGTTCCTGGGCAGTCCTCAAAAATTTGTGATAGTAACATACAAGTACCACAGGGGGGCAGTGTTTGCAAACGAGTCAAAGCCATTAGCATGGAAGGTCGCATCCTTACACAGAGGTCGTAGTGGCCTTACACAATCGCTCTGATCTGAAAGACGAATGTGATCACCGGTAGGTCTGGTGGTAACCAGGCAGCGTTAAAATGAAAAAATTTCGTTGGCCTTCGTTGTTCTGAATTTCCCTTGAAATATACGATACTGGTAGCCTACGTCCACTTAGCCTGCCTCAAATAAAAATTCGCTGTGATGGGGGAACAGTTTCCACAATTTTTTTTTTTTTTACTTTGTTTCGCAAGTCAGTTTGGCCAAGTTTCCATTCTGTCTTCTTTTTTTTTTTTTCGTATTGCTGTGCAGAAAAATTTCAGCAGCAGATGGTAACTGTACTTTTTCAATAAATGAACCTAATATTTTATAAGTTCAAAGAGACACAAAATCTGGTTTTTATTCGTTCCACTGGTAGTCTGTTTAAATTAAATAGAAATAGAGGCCTGCCTCTAATTCTGGCCTCCTTCCAATAATGGCCGGGACCAAGATGCACCTGAGTGAAATAAAGGCCCCATCCTATATTAGAGCATTTACGGTATTTTGCAAATCGATTACTTCTTTAAGATTCCTTAAAGAAGATGCTTTTATGAAATTAAACCACTTAAAGAGCTCTGGATACAACAGTTTTTTTTATATCTTAAATGCAAAATGTTTATATATGTTTTTGTGATTTTTATATAATTGCTGCTCTTATGCTACATTCAGATCGCAAGCAGCAAAAGCAGCTGGTTTACATGCAAAGTCAAAGGTTGACGTGCATCAAGGCGCAGCAAAAGGTTCTGAAGCGGCTGAAGCAGCGCCTCATGAGCTTCTGACGCACAGCGAAAGCAGCAGCTGCTAGAGTGGAAAAATTTGAACTTTTATTGCTCTTTGTATCACATCAAACAATCAGAGAAGCTGATCTGGGAGCTGGCAGGGAGACAGACACAGCGCTGCTGATGCAGAGCGCTATGATCACTCTTCTGAAACTGTTTATTAACGCCTAAATTAACTGAAAATAAACCTGTCGGTGAAATATGTTTGATTTTATTATTCTGGTTCCTGCAGTTTGGATTATGCACATGAAAAAAGCCTTCCAGCAGCCGCTACTGCTGCTGAAGGGGATTCCCAGTGACAGCGCACCGCCGGTATTTCTCCGACAGAGAAATAATATTTGAAGGCAGGATGGTAATCTGGATGAACTGACAGAACAGATTAAGTTTTCAGGTGGACTTTCTCACTTAAAAACTTTTTACCCACTGATCAGAGCAAATATAGCTGCCATGGTTACAGGCAAAGGAAGGATAGGGTAGCTCCGCCCATCGCGCATCAGACCCACTTTTCCACCGTGCAGCTGGAGCAGCAAAGATACTTCAGACGTGCGTCAGATCTAAACTAGTATAAACATAAAAACTAAAGGAACACCTGCGTTTTTGATGCTTCTGCTGCTTTCGGTCTGAACGTAGCATACGTGGGTCACTGTCAGCTAAAGGCATATATATATATATTTATATTAGAGATGGGACGATTTATGAAAACCGTCCGAACCGTTCGGTT